CCGATACCCAGGAAGGGCTCCCGATCCCCAGTTCAGCCCAGGAAGAGCTCCCGATCCCCGATTCAGCCCAGGAAGGGCTCCCGATCCCCGGTTCCGCCCAGGAAGGGCTCCCGATCCCCAGTTAAGCCCAGGGAGGGCTACAGATCCGCAAGTAAGCCCAGGGACGGCTCCAGTCCCCGGTCCTGGCCCACGGAGGGCCTCGGAACCTGTAAACGCCCCCAAGTATTTTTTGAGTTCCAGGTGTCCCTTGTCTTCCCCTCATCAGTTCCTGTGTATTTAAGGTGTGTTCTAGTTCTTGTCCTTGGTCAGTCGTTAAACGTCATCCTGTCATCCTGACGTGTCGAGTCCTGTGATCCCAAGCCTTTGTTCAGTAAACCCTTTTGAGTTACTTTTGTCTCCTCGCTCCTTCATTCCCATGTTCCTCGTGTGTGTGAACCGTGACAATAACCACTTACATATGACATATTTCACATGATCTAGAATGATATGTAGCACTGAATATAACTATAACATATAGTATAAAGTGTTTTCGATTACTGATGTTTTGTTGTTCAGATTATCTCTCTCTCTTTCAATTCAATGCAATTCAGTTCAAATGAGCATGACTGTGCTTAATGGTATGAATCTGTAGAGTAGCACAATTTTGCCGAACATTAAGTAATAAATATATCACACACACACACACACAGACATAAATGATATAATAAACCCACACATATATATCAAGGAAATATTAGGTTCAGCTTCTGTCCCTCATGGCAGGAGGACATATATTGCGCTGTGAGCTGGACACATTCTCGGTGTACTTTATTTTACAGTACATGTACTACAGTGTACTTATAGTGTACCTACCAAAGAAAGTTCTGGTAATATCTGGTAACATGGGGTAGGGTTAGGTTTAGGGGTGGGTTCAGGGTTAGTAACTAGTTATTACCTAGTTATTGTAATTACTATAATAAGTACATAGCATGAACATGAGGAACAGGACTGTAAAATAAAGCGCTACCCACATTCTTCCTTTTCTCCCAAGATTTTGTCTAAATGACTCGCTCACTGGAAATCAGGTAGAAATTCAAGCTAGTTGAGTAAACTAATTGTCTATAATGGTCTTATTTGCTGCACACTGTGAAGAAATGCAACTTATCCTCCGTCAGTGTCTGCCAATGTCTACAGACAGACTGTTCTCATTTATGCAGTTCTTCATCAGCAGATTTTTTTATAGAGATTATTTGATCTTTAAAATTGATTATAGGTGCCAATTTATGATTAACAATGATTTTCTTATGCTATAATAAGCCCTATGTGCCTTGTCCGTCAGATCTTCAATTGCTTAATCAGATTGTCCATAGGCTGAAATGGTTAGACCCAAATACAGGTGACATGATTAAAAATTGTGTTCCCCCCCTCGAGTATAAAAACATTTTTTCAAAACAGTTCACCTTCAAGTAGCATATTTATGTTATTTTATATATACGATCATGGCTGGTTCACACTTTTTACTCCAGTAAATATTTTTTTATGGAAGGTTAATATTTTATGGCATTTACAATATGTTATATATTACAATATATTATTATATATAGTATAATATATTATACTGTAAACTAATCAATGATTAAAACAGGTTCATCCTCCAATATGGTCTTGCTAAGGCTGGGATGCTGTCATGCAAGATGAAATAAACTGAATAATTTCAGTGATGAAAGGTGAGTCACTATTATTTTCAAGTGGATTTCTTTGCTACAACATTGCATGCATGTACAAATAGTTTTGTGATCATTATTGTTTTTATAGTTGGATCTGTTGTATATTTGTGTTGCCTGAGCGGGTGATACATAAACTGCAAATACTTCTATGAAAATCTCCATTCCAAGTCCTGAATAATTTTTCTGATTTTGTCTTTTGTCCCCTGTCTCTCTTGAATATTCTGTTGGAAACAATTGTTTAGCCCTACCACAAATAATGATAACCTACATACACTCTGTGTCCAATGTCAACAGCCCTTTCTTGAGAACAGGCTTGACTTTTCCATTACATTAGTGAGAACTAATCTTAATGCCACATTCAACTTTTTTTTTTCTTCTTTTTTTTTTTTTGCAGTAGTTTGTGGAAAATCTTTCTGTGTCTGCACAGCAGGTTCTACCAAACAATGGTTTACTGACTGGCCTTTCAAATTTTTTACATTATATGTTCAACAAGATAAGCGCAACAGTAAGGCACCAACATTGAGAAAAAGGGCTCTTAGTTGTTGTTCCAGTTAATCCTGAAAGGGTTCAGGTCTATACTTTTTTTTTTTTTTTTTTTTTGCTGGCCAGAAAACAGAAAAGTTGAGAATTTGTAAGTATTGTACAGGTTTGCATTTTAATATGAATTACTACAATCTGACAAAAAATTTACAATTTGTAGGTAATTAAGATGCACCCCAAACCTAACCCTCAGGGTGCCACGAGCACCAATTTGCCAAATCATAAAATACTAACAAAAAGTCATGAGAGTGTGTTGTCCTTAGCCCGTTGACATCAAAAATCATATCTCTACGTTACCCACCCCCTAATTTTTTTCTTGACCATAGATGGTTATGAATTACTACAATCTGACAAAAAATGTACAATTTGTAGGTAATTAAGATGCACCCCAAACCTAACCCTCAGGGTGCCACGAGCACCAATTTGCCAAATCATAAAATACTAACAAAAAGTCATGAGAGTGTGTTGTCCTTAGCCCGTTGACATCAAAAATCATATCTCTACGTTACCCACCCCCTAATTTTTTTCTTGACCATAGATGGCACAAAATCTCATCTCAGCACTTTTGATGAAGGGCTATACTATTTTTAATTTGGTCATTTCATCTGAATATCAACATTTGTGAGGTTTAGTTAGTCAAAATAGTTTTGTGGTTAAGTGATCTAATTTTGTGTCTGAAAAATAGTGACCTTGCGTATTATTGTTTTTGTGTCTCCCCCAGAATTGGCACAGAAGGCCACAAGTGGTGTGTTGTTACTAGTGTTATTATTTTTAAATATAATAGTTATGTAATTCATTAGGGTTATTATTCAATATTTCTATTAATTCGATTTCAGGCATTGTCTCCTTCATTAAAACCAATAGGTTAATGAGAGTTAATTACATTTGCATTCATAGTGTTGCTATTATGACATATCTTCAGTTAAAATATGGTCAATTAAACATGTAAATATTTGTCCTTATATAAGTCATAGAATGATTTTACCTTTCATATGAATATTTTTTAACGGGATTCTGCTTTGTCTGTCATTGGTTATTCAATTATTCAACTAAATTGTCAAAATAACATTTTAAATAGAACAGTAGATTTAGTATTTTACATTAATGACACTTATAAATATAAGATTAATAAGAATTATGTCAAATCATCAGAGTGGCTTCTTACCCCAGATGACCCCACTGGCCAATTTATTCCAGTAGGGGCAATCTTGCCCCTGTTTTAATATTTTACATTTTGTGTCATAACTAAATTAGCAAATGTTTCTATTTATTTCCTATAATAACACATTGGGTGATGCATTTTTTTTTTTATTAACAGTGTGTCAGTTGCTGAGATGAAATTTGATTAAAAAAGAAGAAATATCAATAGAAACCAAACTAAAATTTCTGCTCCTGCAGGATGCATATCTTGCCTTAACATCAAGAGAATAATCGTCGTCAGCAGCATGACCTTGAATTTTTTCTCTGGTGTGAAGAATCACAGTAACCACTACAACTGCACTATGGAGGATTTCAGTTTCAGGTCTCCGCTGGACTTGCTAACGCAGTAGAAACGTTACTCAACTATGCAGTGTGTTCTTCTGTGGCCATAATTAAACCTCTCCTCAGCAATGGTGATTGGCTGATGTACATTTCTAAGGAAGTCAAGGGTGAAGGCGATATGTCTCGTGTGCTTCCAGTTCATTTGCCACTGTGTCAGTGAAAATCCCCAGGAGACACGGTAACGCTAGATATTTTTGGTAAGCCTGTTTATTTATTTATTTATTTATACTGTTTAAACGACTTAAATTGAAATGTTTATTTGAACTTTTCTGTTATTTAAGTGCAAACGAACATCTTTGGTTGCTACGCCACATCTCAAAGCTTCACCAGAGACCCGTTCGCCCAACCCGATCTCATGAATAAATAGTACGCCAAATAAAAACAAAAACTCGTGTTACTGATACGCAAAAATTGACTTTGGCGTGTATATGCTACGCAATGGGTAGGAATAGGGTTGTGGGGTAGATGCGTATCATATGTACGTGAAAACTGCTTATCATAAGCACGCCAACACATTTCTTATCATATGCACGCGAAAACTGCGTATTATATGCACGCCAAAGTCAATTTTTGCGTATCAATACCACGAGTTTCTGTTTTTATTTGGCGTACTATTTATGCATTTCCTGTGTTTCCACCTCCCAGCACTCACCATAACGTCTTCAAACTTCAAACGCATGCTATAAAGTTATTTGGCTGTAGGACTTTTTCAGCCAATACTGATTTTTCACTTCGATTTGACTGACTAAATGCAATTAAATGTGTTCAGAGGATATATGTATTATTATTATTATTATTTTAACTAAATACCCTAAGCTATGCTTACCAAAATGCATATTTTTGTTTGGAAACTGTTTTTTTTTTTTACAGTGAGATCGAGGTGTTGGATTTTGGAAAGCATGGAGGCCAACATTCAGCCTTTTTACATGTTAAGTCATCAGCATAAATTTGAGGTAAGCCTGTCTCAAACAGAGATTACTTTTCATAAAGAATGATCGTATAACATTATGCAGTGCATTCTAAATATTTAATTCCATTACAAAGTAAAAGACATTCATTCGATCTCCGCAGCAGTTGACATCTACATCTAGTCATGCACGTGTCCGTTTACATAATAAGCAAATTGAATCCAATGTTGTATGTAGTCTTTTATTATTAAAATAAACATTTGTCATCATTTATCAAAAAATAGGATCTACATATACAGTGCATGAGAAGCAAAATTAGAGCTACTTTAAGTGTTAAAACAGTGACATTTTAAATTCTTCAGATTTACCAAGGCCGCCAATAATTCTGTTTGAAGGCTTCAGAAAAATTGCAGCACTCGTCAACCTTTGTATTTTTAAGACTGAAGTGTGTGGTTTTGAGCTTCTTGGATCCATGGGTTCCAGCCTGTGCGTTAAATGATATTTTGTCCGTATCACAAATCTCAATCCTCTTCGGCATAGAGCAGAAATATCTGTCTGAAGTTTCCTGCAAGATGGGATAAGGAGCGTCTGTTTTAAACGAAGCTTTGTGTAATCGACGAAGAGTACAAGTTGAGGCAGGGATCCGAGCAGGGTCGCTCTCCGCGGTACTGAAATCAGGAACAAGGTTAGAACCGCTCCTAAGATGTGTCAGCATGATGGAGCGGGAATCTCTGTCTGCGTCCGAAGCGAGAAGATAATGACTGACAGTGGCGAGACAACTTCTGAAGCCAGCATGATATTCAGCAGAGTCACAAACTGTGGGCATTCCTGCATTTAGAGAAATCAATAGTTATTGTTTTCCAATAATACACTTAAATTATGTTGAAAATGTAACGAATAATAATTCTTTAAATGCTAATGGAACACAAACCTCTTTTGATGTTTTGTAGATGCATCAGATGTTTAACCGTAAGCTCCAAAATGTCAGCCTTTTCCAATTTTCGCTTGCGGATCTGAATAATATAAAATACACCAGTTGGTTTTTGAGACAGACATTTGATGTTAGAATTTTAAATCCATTTAATTTTCTTACATTATTCGAACAGACACTCTCCAGGAGACTTTTCAACTGATTCAAACATTTATTGATATGTGCTCTTCTTTTCTTCTCCATCAGTGGTTTGGAGACCTGGAAGACAAATCCGTTTCTTTTATTTAAAATGCAATCAATGCACGCTGATAAAGAAGTTATAGATTTTTTAAATTAAATTAAATTTATTTTTTTGTAACAAATAAAATCGTTTCACTTATAACTCTAATCACCTTTTTAACGCTCTGAGTTTTCGCCGTTACCACTCTCTCTGATGCTGCAGCCATTGTCCTCAAATGCTCGTTGCGCTTAGATACCCAGATGAATTATTGCTAACTTCCTTGTGTCAGAGTGAAGGAATTCTCCATAGTATCCTGCTTTATAAAGAGAGACTCACTTAACATCTCAATGCACTGCTCACATCATTGGTGCGCAAAAAGAGCATCCATTTAGTTTCTGCTGGACACCCAATCAGCATGAAGTTGCTTTCCCGGCTGTGCTTTTGTTCTTAAAAAAGGAGCTTAGGATTGCCATTGGTGCTACTCTCTTTTATAAGCATGAGACTTCTTATTCACACAATCTGAAGAAAAATGCACAATAAAATAATAATAATAATTACTTGGTCGTATATTGGCGTAATACGTAATTGTCTTTTACCTTTTTCTCTTGCATGTCTAATTTATTTTATTTGAAATTGCAAACGGGGGCTTTTCTAAACATGGGCTAACCCTTATAATCATATGATCTAATATTTTTTCTTATATATTAGCCTATCTTATATTTCATTTGCATTAGTTTAGAACGAACGAGATCGTCGTGTGGGGTGAAAATGTAGCCTATAGAGAGTTCCATAGAAACACCGTAAAATGGAAAATGTTACAAATAACCAGTCGAGATGTAGAGGAATTAACTCTGACTATTCATCCCTTTCTCTTCAAGTTTCACGCCATGTTGAGACAGGAAGCACCGTGGAAATCTTTTCCGTGTCTTCACAACGTGGCCA